CCTGCTCTCATTGTGCTCTCACTTTTAAAATCGAATGACTTTACTGATAGCAAATCAAAAGGTTTACGAAGCATAATTATGATTTTAATTGTATAATGGAGAGAAAGAGATGAAGAACAGGGAAAATTCTTTTTTGAGTGAAAGGCTGCCTGGGGATTCATTATTTCAAAAGTTGAAAATTGACAATTTCAATAGCCAAAATATTTTTAATAGGAATAAATAACTATCAACCGCGTATTACAACACTAAATATTTCATATATTCAACTTCTTTTCATTTTCCATCCAGACCAGTCAAAAAATTTCTACAATATCAAAAAAAAAAAAATGAACTGCATCCTATAGGACCTGCCTTGTTGGTTTTTAATTTTATAAAAACATGCGATGCAAAAATAATTATTAGCATCAGCATCCCAAAGTAACGTAGAAATGACTACATCATACATTTGCATCAAGATAAAGCGACAATTAACAATGGATAATCATCTATTTAATAAGGGTGCGCATTATGACAACTCATAAAAATTGCCCGCTACTGTCGTACTGCACTGGTGCTTTATGGTAACTGTGCACCTATAGCTTAGAACGGCCACTCTGAGGCGCACCTTGCTAATGGTAACCCTCATAAAAGTCTGGCAAACCGTATTAGAGTTTTTGTCAACCAAGCATATGACTATTTGGATAAAGACTTTGAGAAACACTCCGGACAAGCTTTTGTTGTCCTCTTTTGAAATGTGCAAGCATTTTTTTTGACTTTCATTTCATCAGTAAAAAATTAATGAAGTAATTTTTAAGGGTTTTGGTAGTTACAAAGCAAAATGTCGAATTGTCTAAGTTTTCTTAAATTTCTTTACATGGCGCTTACTTCTTCGCGTTTTATCAAACTTTATTCAGCTGTTGATAGTGCATGGGGTGGACAAAGTACTCTCCGGTGATAATGAGAAATGATAAAATATCTCATTGAATTCTGATAGATCCCTTGCAAATAAATCTAGGGTAGTTAATTATTTCATCCCACGCGATGGTCTACCGCCCCATCGTGGCGCAGGGGTGACTCTGGGTGTCAAATTGCGAAGTACAGCGGTTATTTATAGCACTTTCTCCAAAGCTGAGAAGGAGTTCGACGTTTCCGGCTCCCCAGATGCCCAGATAAGAGTAGGCCATGCCAGAAGTAACATCGTCTTGCTGAATCAGTTGCTAGGTGGTTCCCTGATCCACACGAGGTCAGCGAATGCCTATGGTGAATGTGGTAGGACCTGGTAAGGCTGTTAATTTTGGGTAAAAGTTCTATTGCCCGTACAGCATGTAAGAGAAGAAGAAGCTCTACATACTGGATCACATCTCGGCGTCGGATATCATGAAAACCAGCGTTAGGTTACACAGGACGCCATGGATTTCGGACCAAATGGACACGACAACGACTCGCCATGAAGAATGTCTCATCTCTGCACTTACAACGCCAGGACAGTCTCTACCATAGTCCAGTAAGACGGACGTGAGGCAGCTGAGTGATGGCGCGCTCATCATTCGTGGTGAGAAAGTTCCATTACGGAACGATGGAGGCGTTGGATTTGTCGTGCACCCATCTGTTGTCCATCTTGTCGTTTCGCATGAGTTCCTTTCACCTCCCCTGGCTATCCTTCAACTCCGTCCCCTGCATTGGAAAACCATTACTATCATCAACGGATGCTTTTTATGAGGATTTGGAGGAAGTCATCCGCAAAGAAAATTCCTTCGATAGGTTCGTTATGGATGACTTCAATGCGATAATCTGGATGCCAGAAGAAGGGGATGCAGGATTGGGAGACCTGGATCAGGAATCCGGGTTGGGAATGGGAACCTTCTTGCTGGGCTCTTATCCGCCGCACGACTTTTTCATGACAACTCCATCTTCATGAAGAAAGAACACCGGAGGTGGACATAGAAGTCACTCAACGGCACGACTTATGCGGAGATCGATCACATTCTCACCAACCAAGGGTGGTGCTTACTAGACGTCTCAGTGGTACCACCCTTCAGCAGTGGTTTAGATCGTCGTCCTTTGAGCAAAAGTGCGATTCAGCCAAAAGCTGGAAAAGAAGATCTATCACCGTATTGGAGGAAGGAAAGAAGTCGTCTATGAAGGCGTCAGATTGAAAGAGCTCCTGCCCACCTTGGCTGGCCCAAAGGAGGACCCAACGAAAGAACGACCTGCTTCTTAGAGGACTGAGATCCTGTGGTGAAATTGCCTCAATGCCTCGCACAAGGAATTTGAAACGATTTTTAAAAGCAACCAAGGATTTGCCAGAGAGGAGAAGAGCACTGAGTCTGGATGACTGCATCACATCTCGAGCAACTGGTAGCCAATTCCAGTTGCAGAACAGTTTCGCAAGAGATCATTGAAAGTACAGGCAGAAACTTCTAGAAACAGCGCAAGGAAGGAGGAGTCTAAAGAAGTGCCGCAGGATCATTCTCGACTTCTGCGTTCCGCTGACAACATTATTGAACGAAGACGCACACATCTTCTGGCAGAAGATGGTCGACTACGAAGACATTCTACACCGATCTCTTTCGCTCGTCAACATCCCTGCTCCGTTATTCCCACTGGATAAATACCACCATGGCTTCTTCTCCTGAAGTACGCGCCGCAATCCAGGGCAGCCACGGCTCTAGGAGCGGACCATTTTTCAGCCGACCTCTTACGAGGTGGAGGATATCGCCTCGCAAGATACTTGCGGCACACCTAACGTCTTACCTTCAAAAGGAAAGGATTCTCAACCAGTGGAGAACCTCCCGCACAATCCTTCTTCATAAGAAGGGTGATAGGGAGATTTTCGGAACTACCGTCCAATATGCCTCTAAGCGTGCTTTACAAACTCTTCACGAAGATTATTCTCAC